CTTTATACCATTGCATACATATGTATATATTTTTATATATGCAGAGAGAGAGAAAGAGAGAGATTTGACAAGTCTTTAAGGATCATCATATCATGCCATGGACGAATCTACGGGGAGGAGATTTTGTGCTGAAGCCCTCCCCCCAAAATAGTAAAATATAACCATGTTTTATGGAAAAAAAATATTTAAAAAATACCTCTTTAAGTATTATTGTTCGTGTTTGTTTGTTGTTTGTTTCGATGTCTAGGCGCAAAACATCCAGGTCATAAGCGCCCGATCAACTAAATAACACCACTTAATGCTATTTGGATGGTTGGTAGAAAAAAAACTAATAACAAAAAAATAAATAAATAAAATAAAATAAAATAAATAGAGAAATGGATTGATAGAATAAATTAAATAAATAAGGATACTGATAGAGATTTGTAATAAGATGTATAAAAAATGTATAAATAAATAAACTTTAAAAAATAGCAGTAGAATCAATAAATGAATTGAGATTAATAAACAAATGAATTTAAAATGAAATGAAATCAAATGAAAAAAAAAATAAATAAAAATAATAATAATAATAAGAGAAAATAGAATAAAAATAAATAGATAAAAAAATTAAAAAATAAAAAAAAAAAGGTAAATCTGCAAAGGATCATTAATTATAAGCCTGTGTCAAATGTGTTTTTTAAGTCTTTCACTATCCAGGAACTTGATGACTTTGTTATTGTTTGTGTAATTACATTTAAAAGGACATTAGGAATCACTTAAACATCTTTTCATGTAGGTAGTTAGTTTCTTTCTGGTTTTCTAAAGTAATTATCGTTATTTTTATGAAGAAAAAAAAATTCGGGCTGAAGACCCCTCCTAAATAAAATCCTGGATCCGCTAGTGTATCATGCTGTTTCTTTCCCGACATTATCCTTCTTATTCTTCGATATTTCAAGTTGTCCATTTGTTATACATGTATTAACTAATCATTTATATTTAAAAACTTATCATTAATGACATACACCGTCCTACGAGGTGCCTTTATTGCCGCGAATTACCCGTTGGGATGCACGTGACAACTCCATCGTCAGCAATGGACGCTCCAAGGGCAGCACAGTTCGCTAACTGATTTGGCCTTTCGAAGGCTGTTTTGTTTAAGGGCAATGTTGAGGATTATCTGCGCACCAAGCGCCATATACGGCTCTCGTTTAAATGGCTTTTAGGTACATACGTAAATGCTAAATTTCAATATGCGGGTTACGTGAAGAATATTTTTCTATTTTATAGTAGTATGTATATAGGAGATAAATGTGCGTATACGGAGATTTCGAAAGTGTGATTCGCAAGCAGATCCGACTTCGGATTGAACTCATTAGCGCCGGCACATAGAAAATATAGGGGGGAAGAGACCAAGGTCAGAGCGACAAACACAAAATGTCTCAGTCGCCAGTGTGCTACCTGTAATAATGTAAATATCACTTATATAATTTATTGAACTCATTCATGAGTTATTTTTTAAGTAAATGACGGAAATATTGGAAAACCAATGAATTGCGACCTTCATAAAATATTTAGTGGAGGAGAGCATAAATTCTTCCTCACTCCGAAGGGAAGTCATATAAAGTGTAATTACACAAACAATAATACTTTTAGAGAGATAATTTCTTAATGTATTTTTGTATAATATTGTTTTCATTAGACATAGTTATATTTTACCGATTTCGGGGAGGGGAGGGAGAGGATGAGAGGCTTAATTAAAGTGGCAACAATCAAATAACCTCCCATTCATTTTTTTAAAAATCGCAATGGAATTCAGTTAATATATAAATGTTTTCCCTTCTACTAAACATTGCTTTTTGTGGTCATAGTTAATTTTTTACTTTCACTTACTTACCTCTGTATTTAATATTGAAGGGATCAGTCCAAATAACCAGGTCCCGCAAAATGATCTGTGTATCTATGTGTATATGAACAGTCTAGCTCAAAAACGATAAGTCGTACAAAACTGATATAAATTATTTAATGAGAGAAGGAGTTAATTGGGGGGTGCGGTCAAATAAATACTAAATTAAAATATAGTAATTATTTAATTTTTGCCGACGTTTCGACCCACTTTGTAGGTCGTCTTCAGGCGTAGGATGTAGCACTGCGGGAGACAGTTGAAACACTGAAATTATTACACTGAATTATTTGACCGCACCCCCCAATTAACTCCTTCTCATATTATATCAACGATCAACCATCTCTACATCATTATAAATTATTTAAGATAAGTATATACCTGGGATGTTACAGCAACTCTTTCCTTAAAATCGGCTAACTGGTATATTGGATATAAACATTATTCTAACTGGAGCATAAAAATATTAGGCCGTTTGGCATGACCTTTAGTCCCAACAGCCAAACGCCCCATTATTTTTGTAGACCACGGAAATGACATGTTTTCAAGGAAATGAAATAAAATTAACTAACTAAATGTAAACTTTTAAAATATTTTTCAAATTTAAAATCCATATAATCAAGACTATGACATTGTTTAAAAAAACTATTCCATTGTACTTGTGAAAAAAGTGAAATATAAAAACATTTCAGGGATGTATAAAGCATATGTTCGCAACCTTAAATATATTTACTGTAGTTTAATAATTCCAGATCAGATATTAAATTGAAATAATTAGTTATCATCGTCCGTTTATTGCGAAAAATCGTCATGTAACTTTTTAGAAAATTCAATTAGTGAATAATTTCATAAATGTTCCCTTTGTGAAATCCCAACATTATCCACTTGAAATTAGTGTGACAACTTTTGACCTGTCTATGACAGGCAATTAAAATCTCTTAATTTCATTTTAGTGAACTTTACTATAGAAAATAACAGATTAATAATTAATAGGCATACAGTCCATAATCATTTATAGGTTGAATATACAGATATACTTTCAAATTTCTCTTATCAAATATAGCTCTGGAGTTTTATGGTTTACAAAAACAGATGGAATAGTGAGTTTTTTATTACCTAGTCTTGATATAATTAATATGGTTTTTGTTATTTTAATGGTCTTAATGATTTATTAGCAGTAAGCTTTAAGGTATAGCTCTGTGAAAAATACACTTCAAAAATTTTATAATAGCCTAACATTGTCCAAAATAATTTCTATTCAAAGTAGAGCGGTATGTGAAAGTTGTGTGTTGCGCACACCAGATTTTTTTCTTTCAAAAGGTTTCCAAATATTTGATTTCTTAAATATCTGGTTAGTTCCACTTTGTGTTCACGTGAACTTTTTTGAACTTATTTCTGTTTAATAAATTTAATCTCTTGCAGATATGCACTGTTATTTATAGTTACAATATATTTATTAATAATTAAAAAACCTTTTTAATTTTTTTTTTTATCTATAATAATAGTATTTACATTTGCATTGTGAATAAAGTTTTTTAATCACTAATATTAATCTGTAGAATTCCAAAAATTCCTACAGATCACAAAATATATTGATTATATTTTATATACTACATTATTAATATTTATTTTTTATATTACAAAAAATGAATTAATATCAATGAAGGAATATCAAAATAATAATCAAAATAAACATTTTCTTTGGAAAATATTAAAATGGTGAACATTAGTGTGATTTCTGAACGTATTACTGAATCTTTTTTCACATAACTCATTTAAGTGATACTTGGGTTTATAAATATAATGAATTTTAATTTTTTAATTTTGATTTTGAGTTACTTTATCATAAGCAAATCCTGAATTTATTTACCTGTTATTTAAAAATATTAAAAATTGTCAACCTTAAGATATAAATATAGTAAAATCCTTTTTTTTTTTTCATTTATGAGACTTTCTCTAAACACTCGGTATCAGTTACTGCATTTAATCATCAATTAACATGTTCCAAGATAAAAATAGGCTTGAAAATTCACAATTTCATTTAGCTTAAAACAGATAGAGTGTAACAGATTCTGGCAATTTTAATCACAGACTGTGATGGTGCTCTTTCACGATTAGATAAAACTTCAAATCTTATCTTTCAAACATGTTATAAAATATGTAGAGTTTTTTAAAGTCCTTCAAATTCTTTTTTCTTAATATTACTTTAGATTTTTAGTAAACCTTCAAGTATTTTCATTTATTAATTTAGTTTAATATTATTATATTGTTTCTTTTTGTAACATTTTATTCATGAAGTCAATAAATATTATCACATATTATTGTGTAATGATTGTACTGAAATTTTCAAAAAATATAATGTAGTATTAAAAGAATTCCTGCTGAATAAGATCTAATTAATATAATTATAGCATTGAGCTGTCAAATGAAAAAGTGATGTAAGTTATATTAAATAATTAATTTAATAGTTAAATCCCAATCAATTTTAAATCTGCTCTATAAGATTTTTTACAAATATCAATCTATGGTGTTCACTTCAAGTCTGTTACAATAATATTATGTCGAGTCGTTTCCTCATAAAATTTTCCAAAAGTGCTTGAAGTATTAACATTGTCCAAGCAATTTGGAAAAGATGATGGAGTTTACATAAATATTTTGCATTTTGTAAATGTTTAATGATTGTTCAATAGCGATACAAAATAAATAAGTTGCTTTTATTCACCTCTTGTTTAATTAAATTTTACTTGGACTTTAAGAGTTTTTATATTTAATTAAGATTATTAGTTCTACAGTATCGGCAAAATAATTTATAATTTTCCTTATTAAAATATTGATGATGTAAGGATATTTTTTTTACTACATGATAACATAACTTATCTTTCTAGACCAGAGTCCGTCATGAAGGGGGTGTGGTCTTTTATCAGATTATCATAGAGGAAAGGAGGCACGTCTCAAGGTTGAGATTTTAAGTAGTATAAGAAAAAAAAAAAGAACCAAAGAATTTATAACGAAATGCATTCATTTTAAAATGTGATTGTTTGCTCATATTCATCCCTAATTATTGGCCTCAAAATATCAGCCTTTAACTGTTTTTAACAAATACGATTCTCTGTTACAGATACTACAGTCCCGATAGGTGACGAGGTTCAAGCAGCGAAGGCCGCCGATAGTGATATGTTTAGCCTTACAGACATAATATTAGTCATATTCCTGATTGGAATCACAGTATGGTGGTGGTTTTACAGAAACAAGAAGGATGCTTCCTTGAAAGACAAATCCTATGCCATACAGTAAGTAGTACATTTAACCTAATATCTTTATTACTAAATTAATTTTATTTGTTTATGATTGATGGTAATACAGCCAGTTTAATATTTGTCAGTACTCATTGTAATAATTTGTTTTTTTAATTAGGCCCATGGTAATGACCTCAACCCCACAAGTCACTGACAATTCTTTTATTAAGAAACTTAAATCAAGTGGACGTAGCCTAATTGTATTTTATGGAAGTCAGACCGGAACAGGGGAGGAGTTTGCCGGTAGAATTGCCAAAGAAGGAATCAGGTACCAACTAAAAGGAATGGTTGCTGACCCTGAGGAGTATGACATGGTAAGATTTTTTAAATTAAATTATTCTTATTTTATATTTCCTCTATCCTAAAGGATCATTGACAAAATCTTTGTTTCGTTATTTTTAAAAAAGACAGAAAGGAGATTTATCAACTTCAACACATAGACTTTCTTTTCAGTTGAGATAGACATTTCCCTAGTACAAATTCTTAAAGCACATTTCTGTACAACATCCGACAACATTAAAGTTTTTTTTTGATGCAGTACATTAAACACTTAAACCATAGCTTAAGTTGCTTCTGATGCTAGTGGAATATATATTGAACAGGAGATAGCGTGGATACACTTTCCCGTTGGTGTGGGAAAGACATTTGAGCAGGACAATCCTTTTTAGTCATTTTTCTTTGAGTATTTTTATGAAGTGTCCATCTAAGTGAGTAATCCAACTGCAGATCCAAACATTCAAGTATATCAACAAATGGAACTTCAGTAGCACCCATGCATATTTTCGGGATAAATGTGCACACTTTTAGTTTACTGACGTGCATAGCTCTAGTTTTGCTAGCTAATAGTTTAAAACTACTCTCTATCAACCATTTTTCTATATCGTCTAAGGCTTCTTCAATATTTCACACTACAAATTTAATACATACAATTATATATAGTCTTCATTTGTAATAGTTTTGCAAGCCTTACAGATATTACCACTATATCATTTATTGTGACCTGCAAAAGGGTCACACTGGATGGAGAGCCTTAAGGAGTACCATTCTCCATAATGTAGATTATGGATTCTGAAGTACCAACCATAACAATGAAAGTTGAAAGTTCAATTTTTTAGAAAATTCATTATGTATCTCAACAGTTTCTCTTTTTTTGTCATCTTCTGAACAGATCCAAGACTCGCCAGTATGTCGATATCCACAAAGATAGCAATGAGGTGCTGCTTCCTTTTAAATACTTCTTGATCATCCTATTTTAGCATTTGTATAAGATCATTCAGTGTTCTGGTATAGTTATTTTATAATTAGGCTTTATAAACTATACCTAACAGCGCTAATTTTCAAAATAATATCAATTAATAAAAAGTAAATGCTTTAAGGAATTATTAACATGAATGTTTTTTTCAAATGTGTTTCAAGAATTCAATTTATAAAAATATTATAATTCAATATGAAAAATAATTTTGTCAAAAATATTTTAATTTGAATTGGGTCATATCTAGGATACTTTTATAGGCCATCTCGAAATTATGACAATATTCATTCATTAGATTGCTTATATCGGATTAATGGTTTATCTTGTGGAATTTCTAAAAAAAAATGTCATGATATTAACTTAATATTGTGTATAATTACTACCAATGTTTAATCTGTTTGAAAATTTTCTTGAATGTCACATTTAAATATACACAATATTAAATAAAATCAATGACAGGGGAATAACATGATATTTTGAAAAATGGTCCTAATGATTTACGTACATTACAGTCATTTCCGAAGTTTTCTATATTCTATGTAGGCAGATGATCACAATTCAGATTACTCAATAGGACCATTTTTCTACTTACTGACTTAATCCTTGTGACCATGAAAACATAAACAAGAATAGAATAGACTAATCAAGGCAACAAAAGGTTCATAATATAAACAGAGCAAAACATTAAATGTCTAAACTTATTCAAGGGTAGCACAAAATAATGTTAGCTTACATTACATGACACTATATATGATATTAGTTTACAAAGAATTGTATTCTTATCTAATGTTAAATAACAATATATAGCTTATTTAATGATAACAGGTACCCTTGATGCTTTGTCAAGAGTTTTTTTTTTTTCAAGAACAATGGAGAAAATCAGATTAAACTGTTTAAACTATCTGTATAATTGTCTCATTTTTAAGAATGTTTTGCTCCGAACCTATTGTTCTATGCTCAGGCATTTTTCTACTGACTTCATCTACAACCTTTAATTTTTTGTTTTCACTATAGACTTTATGAAGTTAATTTTTCATAATGTATTCTATATAAATTCTGAGAATAAAATATCAGATATTAATCAAATAAAAATATTTATCCTTGTCATAAATACTACTCTTGACCTTATATATTTTATATTAATGGTAATCAATTATTTTGATTATATTAAAATATTATAATTTTAGTGTTGTTAAATATTTTTAATAACATGAAAAAAAAAAGGAAAAGATACATCGATTTTTATTTAACCAAAATAAATGTTTTTTTATTAAATGAAACTTTTCTGTTAATATAAATTTTATTCCTTAAACTTTAGAAAGTTCATAACCAAAGAATGAACAATGAAGTACTTTCCTTTTACATCTGTTTCCATCAATTGAATGCATCACATAAAACAATCTTTGTATTCACCCACAGTGCGTAGGGACGAAATTTGAGGAGTAAATAATAAATGCAAATATTGGATTGCTGTTAGCTACAGTGGTAGTGTTAGCTTTGCTATTAAGCTTTAGTCATCCCATGTTTACAAATAACTCCTGTTAATTGAGCTGTGAATCATCGATAATCAAAGCTCATATAATTACCCTTTTAAATCATTGTTTTCTTTAACTTTATCAAATACACCTCACTCAAACTCAAGTTTTAATGAAACTGGCTAATATTTTATGTATTGTAAATAACTGTTCAGGTTCTCACATACTTTATATTTTCTTTATTTTATCCATTAGGGTTAAAAACTTTTGAAAATGACCATAATTTTTTTGAACATTATTTTTCCACTCACATCTACCAGAACTACCGACAACCAGCGAGTGTGATGTCGAGTAGTAGAATTTTGAGTAATGTTGTTGATAGGCTTGAGGAAGATGAGTGCCCAACGGCGTTCTTTCCTGTATTAATTTTAATATTTGTAGTTACTGGAGGAGATCCGGCTTCAGGCATGTTGGTTGTGGCCATGCCTTGAATCATAATTATAATTTATCTTTACATATTTGATCTTTACAATTTTACTTTCACTTACTTTCTTTTAATATGTAATACATAGTGTTAGTGTTACATAAGTTGCAATCGTGAAACTTTTCGAATCCGAGTTTTCAACAGAAACATGTTTTGAGATCCATTCAAATCCATTACATCCATTATATTATATTAGTGTAAAATGAAGAACTTTTTAAATAATATAGGTCTTGTTCTCATTGATGTTCTATAACAGGATTTAAATGCATAATTTTCAAAATTTCTTTCTCTAAAGTACCTTTAAATTTTTTTATTTGAAATAATTAATCATTTCACATTGTGATGTGCTATAAAAAATGGTTATATATAAAATATGAAAGAATTTGACAATTAACTAAAGGATAAATAATGAATCATGACAGACAATAGTAGTAATTGGGGGAACGAAGAAACCTGAGTTTGACTGAATCAGCTTCCATACATAACACACCATTTTCATAAATGCTTCGTGGGTATTATTTAATATTTAATTGTATATATTGCAATTCTTGAAAAAATAAAAATACCTAAAAGGAAATACAAATAAATTTAGCACTCTTTATCAACAGCACTCTTTTCAGACTAAAAATATTTCAAATAAATAATTAAAATATTGTCGTAAAAATAAATGGTCAATGACAAAAAAACATAAACATTTAACGACTATGAAATAAATATGGTAATTAATCGTTCCAAATAATATTTCATATCTTCTATAATTTGTACTTTCACCTTCCTTTGCCTGAAAATACTTATTTCTGCTAAAATAGAAAAGGATGGTAAGTGAAATTGTGTGATGCCCACACCGCACCAGATTTTTTTTATATTGTGTACAATTATTATAAATACATTTATTAAGTTATAAGTTATATATTATTAAGTCATAACTACATTTATTTTTTTTTTTTTTTATTTCAGGAAGAATTAACTCAACTGAAAAACATCTCTAACTCTCTTGCTGTTTTTTGCATGGCAACTTATGGTGAAGGAGATCCTACTGACAATGCTATGGAGTTCGTTGAATGGCTACAAAATGGAGAGGCTGATTTAACTGGTCTAAATTACACTGTAGGTTTACTTGTCTATCTTAACAGTAATATATTAAGGTGTCTGAATTTATACCAACACTACAAAGCTACCAATAATTAGTTATTCGTAGCTAGTTATACAGTGTTCTTCCGTTTGGTTTATTAGTTACGAGGGGGTATTTTTTTATAATATTTATTTAACTTAAACTCTACTTAAAGTTTAAAATTATATTACATTATATAGTCCCTAATTTAACAAACTGGATAACTGAATTTATCAATTAATCACAATAAAACATGTAATAATAAACATTATGTTATTTGTATGCAAACATCTAAATTCATTTTTTATTTATTCATGATATTCACAACTGTATAAATCAAAAATACATCTAGTAAATGTGTACACAGGAATGATACAATCACATGAAAACGCTCGTTGAGAAACTATCTATTGGTAGCACTCTAAAATTCATTTTTTTATCTTCTCATAAAATATTTATGAATTTTGACTATGAATTCAAGTTCCTATATATTTATTCAATTTTATTTTAATTTCTCTTCATCAAACCTTAATGTTCTTTATATATTAATATTTGGTTTATATTGTTCATTAGAAAACATTCTATAGTTTTTTTTTTTTATAACTAAATGTAACATGTAATGGAGTTAGCAATAGCTTTTTAAAAATCTGAATCAGAGATAGATCATTGCTTATTCTTGTAAAATATTTTCAATAACATTCACAAAATTTTTTAATTTGTTTTACCACAGATTTTCGGACTAGGAAATAAAACTTATGAACATTACAACGAAGTGGCCATATACATTGACAAGAGGTTGGAGGAGCTTGGTGCAACACGAGTCTACCAGCTTGGTCTTGGAGATGACGATGCAAAGTAATATTTTAAATTTATTACAAATATTTTTTAAATTACATGAATCACCAGTGGGTGTAGGATAAATTAATATTGTCAGAATCAATTTAAAGACTTTATATAAAAATAATCATATACCTATCAAAACTACATGGTTTACCTTTTGATTACTACCGTTTTAATACATTGGTGGAGGTGTTAAATCAAATCTTTCTCTCTAGATTTTAGAGGTAGCCATAATTTTTATCTGTTCATAGGATGAAAATGCCTCTTTAGTGTATTTTGTTGTTCTATAAATTTATGAAATGCCAGGATATACCAAATTAGAGAAATTAAATATTTAATAAGTCTAAGTTGGTAATGTGAAGATGAGAATATTCCCATCTTCAATTTCTGTTGCCGTTCACCTAAAAGGTGTGATTTCATTTTAATTGTTAATAACTTATATTTCATGAATGTTTATGTTTTTAAACTAATAATTTTCTTTTGTAGTAATATCTCATTAATACATTTTATACGTTGTATTTCAGTATTGAAGATGACTTCATCACCTGGAAAGATGGCTTATGGCCAACAGTCTGTGAGTTTTTCAACATTGAAGCCTCTGGTGAGGAATTTAATATGAGGCAATACAGAGTGACTGAGCATGACAAGGATGCACTTCCAGACCGTATCTACTCCGGAGAAATAGCCAGGATATTTTCATATAAAAATCAGAAGCCGTTAGTATTCCGTTGCGTTTTTCTTTCTTCATGTTTTTGTTGATTTGTTTGCTAATGAGAGACTGTTAAAACAAATTAAACAAAATAAGTAATAAATGCGTAAATTTAAATAAATGTAGTAAAGTTGAGTTTGAAATGTACCTTTTTTTAGCCAATTTACTTAAATTTAAAATGTATATTTGCATTAACCCTACAAAAAATATTGAAGAAAAGAATAGTTGGGGTGGTCAGTCAAAAAAGAAGGCAAAAATAAATTATAATATTTATTTTTATTTTTACATATGCCGACGTTTCGACCTGAAGTTCAGGCCTTCATCAGGGCTAAGAAAATAACCAGATAACAAAGTATGAGAAACATAAGTAGTGATAGTAAAAAAAAAATAAAAAATAAAGAAAAAAAATAAAGTAAAATGAAATTGTTAGAATAATGACAATAGTAAGAACTAAGAGATAAATAATAATAACCGTTACAATGCTTACTTCATCATTCCACACTTTGTAACGGTTATTCTTATTTATCTCTTAGTTCTTACTATTGTCATTATTCTAACAATTTCATTTTACTTTATTTTTTTATAATTTTTTTCTTTATTTTTTTATTTGTTTACCATCATTACTTATGTTTCTCATACCTTGTTATCTGGTTATTTTCTTAGCCCTGATGAAGGCCTGAACTTCAGGTCGAAACGTCGGCATATGTAAAAATAAAAATAAATATCTTTTATTTTTGCCTTCTTTTTTGACTGACTACCCCAACTATTCTTCTCTTCATTATCCACAACAGTCAACCATTTACCAATTATATAAAAAAGATTATTTTTATTTATTTAAAATTTTATATAGTTGATAAGAAATATTCTCAAATTTTCACATAATTAGGCTGATTAATAAATTGTAGTCATAAGTAACCATAATTGTTCAGGATATTGATTACTGAATTTTTTCATTGATGTTTTAGACCATATGACATGAAGAATCCATTCCTCACTCCAGTCAGGGTTAACAGAGAACTTCATAAGGGTGGGGGTAGGTCCTGTATGCACATTGAATTTGATTTAGAAGGATCAAAACTCAGATATGACAGCGGTAGGTTCCAGACTAAATAATGAAGGTGTATTATATATTGTTGGTCTTATATACCTTATATCTTTTCTATTCAGGCGATCATGCTGCAGTATATCCTGAAAACCGAGTAGAATTAGTAAATAGGATAGGAGAGTTACTGGAAGTAGATCTTGATACGGTGTTTACCCTCACAAATACTGATGGTGAGATTTAGAATTAATATATATTATTCCTCATTTTAATGATTTAATTTCAAAAGAAATTTGAAAGCTAACTTAGTTATAGATAGATAGATAGATATTTCTATTGCTTTTAGGGTCTTAAATTTACAGCAATGGGTAGGTTTTGCCTTATGCATCATATAATATGTTTATAATATTTATACTTCAGTTTACAAAAAAAACCTGTATAAATAAAAATAACTATAAATAATTACCTTAATTAATGTTAACAACGAATAATTGTTCCTTCTTTCCAGAAAATATATAAAAACAACCATCAAGATACTAAATAAATTCTTTCTTCTCTTAATTATTTTTAATTAAGAAATTTCCTTGTTTGAAAACATTTATCGGCAAAAAAAATTGTTTATTTTTCAGCTTCTCTCCACCTTCTATGCTTAGTACATAGATCAGCTTCTTAGAAGGATGTTTTCATTAACAAACATATTACTCCAACATTTCTCTAACAAAATTATGCTAACTTTATTTGATATGGATAGTGATACAATAAGAGTGTGATGTATTGTTTCTTGTGTTTTCATATATCAGAGGATTCCAGTAAACGTCATCCTTTCCCTTGCCCTACCTCATACAGAACAGCTCTGACATACTATGTAGATATATCTGGCAAGCCAAGAACTCACGTACTAAAAGAATTGGCTGAATACGCATCAGATCCTCAGGTAAAGTATCTACTTTAATTTAAATATATTCATTGGGATTTAATTATCTTGTTTATTTATTATAAGTTTTATTTACAAAATAGGAAGCAGCACAGTTGAAAATGATGGCTAGCACATCTCCTGAAGGGAAAAAACTTTACAACCAATGGATTGTCGAGGATAACAGGAGCATTGTCCATGTTCTTGAAGATATGAAGTCAGTGAAACCAAAGATTGACCATCTTTGCGAACTTCTCCCTCGTTTACAATGTAGATACTATTCGATATCATCTTCCGGAAAGGTACTGACATTTTAAATATTTTATATCAGATTTTAATTCATGAAAAGTTGTTTTTAACTTAAGGGTAATACATTAATCACTGCGCCTTAAATATGAATCTGTTTAAAATTACTCTTTTAATTTTTTAACTATAAATAGTTTATAATATTAATTTTGATTGAGTAAAACATAATATCTGTTATGTTATACCCTAGCATCACCCTCTATTGCTTCGCTGACGACACTACAATTCTTTCTTCCCACAAAAGCACTACTATAGCATCAATTGCTCTTCAAAACCACTCTGTGATCTTCAAAAATGATTTGAGAAATGAAGAATTAAAATAAATAGTAGTAAATCCACCCATGTGACTTTCTCTCTTAGACCTCATATCCACCCATAATGATTAACAATTACCCAGTGCCTTCAAAAAACTATGTACGGTACCTCGGACTCTACTTAGACAAAAGACTTACCTTGAACATACGTACTAAATTAAAAAGACAAGAACTGACTAGATGATATAACCAACTCTCGCATCTTCTGGATTTCAGATCTTCACTTAACTTACGAAACAAGCGACTGATCAACAACACCATACTGAGACCTATTTGGACATATGGAGCAGAACTTTGGGGTTCAGCAAAACTAAAACACATTAATAAATTACAAGCAACACAATAAAAAATTCTACGAAAATTTGTCAATGCACCTTGGTACATTTCAAATAACACTCTACATAACGACTTAACATCCCACAGTAAAATCGTACATCCACGAAAAATACACTTCATTTCATTCTTCTACTCTCAATCATCCAAATCCACTCGTTCTGTCTCTTTCTTCCTCCTTGTTACTTGATCGACGCAGACTAAAAAGAAAATGGCCCAGGGATCTACTCCTACAACAATAACAAAACAATGTTAATCAAGCAAACTTACAGTCAATGCCTAATTCATCAAATTTGCTAGGTGCGCTGGCAAATGGCTTAAAATGTTAAAATAAATAAATATCTGTTATTTATCATATAACTTCAGTTTATATTGCATCAATATTACAAATAAATATTATAACAATTTATTAAATAATCAAAATATACTCTTTTGACTATTTAACCACCATTACTTAATCACTAAATCACCGAAATGTGCTAAATGTCAATTAATTCTCTTATCGTCAAAGAATGTTATTGAAAAATAAAGTTAAAAAAATAAAAATCCTGGAGGAGATCTTTGGTACTTTTCTGTAGGCTTAATTCTTCTTAATATCTTATAAACTTTACTTAAGTTATATTTATATTTTACAATATAATAATAGTAGGATACAGTATAATATTATACATATACAGTATAATATTATACATATTATACATAATATTATAATATACAGTATAATATAATATAATATTCAGTATAATATTGATAAGTTTTGCATATTTCTAAATCAAATTAACAAACTTTTTTTTTAAAAGTTATTCCCGAACCGTGTACATATCACTGCTGTTCGTGTTGAATATGACACTCCTACAAACCGTCATGTCCATGGTGTTGCTACGTCATGGCTGGCTGAGAAGATTCCAAAGGGAGATGGAAGTGAAGATCCAGTTGTACCGTTATTTATTAGGAAGTCCCAATTTAAGTAAGAATTTTGTTTTATCATTTTATTTTGGCTTGTTATTATATCTAGTTTTACTCTTAATTTATATTCATAAATTTGTTATATGGTTCTTTAAATGTGTTTATAAACTAAGACATTTTTCGATGGCCAACTGTAGTTAAAAGTATTACCAAAACCTAGAGATTTAAGTCATTCAAAAAATACCCGTGCCCAATATTGTTTCTATACTAGAAACTATTTTTTTAGATTCAATAATTATTTATAACTATCTTGTTTATCAAACGGTAAATAATCCATTCTCTCTCTCTTTTTTTTTAAAGATAATAACTTCTATAAAATATTGATAATAAAACCTAAATTTGTGCATTTCTCTATGAATTAGTCAAGTGAGCAATTCAATTTTTATTACTTAAACTTTTACTTTGAAACAAAAAGGGCCAATATCCACTTGAAATTTGAGTGAAATGCGCAAAATAAATCACGGGATATTAAACATTAATTGTTAGAAGACTTAATATCCTCCATTGTTCAGTTCTTAACAAGAATTTTTTGGAATCTCTTGAGAAAGTATAAATTTGTAATAAAAATAAATAAAATAAGGGGATAATCTGATAAAATTTAAATTTTTTTGTTCAAGCAGAAGTTCCAAACTATTTTATCACTTGGTCTCATAACCATTATTATTAAAAAAATGAAACATTAGTCATAGTTTGGCTGATTCCTTTTATAATAATCGGATTTCCATGTTTATACTCTGTAATATAAGGTGTTGAAAAAAGTTACCATTAGTTTCGTGTAGTTATCTTTCTTTGCTTTTGTGTTATCTTACATTGTACAACACTACATATTTTATAAATTATTTTATTTAAACACCTAGTTCTGCCATAAATACTGTTTCAAAAGTTGAACTTTGTTTACTTCCTTGACTATTATTTAGATATTCCTTACCTCTATCAGATTATTTTCTTTACTTGTCAGGATAATAATCCCAATTAGTTTGTATTTTTGTTTCGCTCAGTTAACATGGAGTGGGATGATAAATAAAACCGGATAGCTGTGATCGTCTGACACATTATTGGAAAATGTAGGTCAGAGATTTTCAACACTTTGAAACCTTTGGGTATCAGGGGTATGTTCGTGTATCGCACTATAAATAGATATAATGTGACCCTATCTGTATGTGACAGACCTCGACTGGGCTGTCCCTGCACTGTGAGAACGGTTAATGTAGTGAGAGCTGTGGTTGCTCGAATCAGAAGAAATCCCGTTCGAAAACAAGAAATCATGTCTCGGGAAATGGGAATCTCTGTCAGATCAATGTCTCACATAATATAAAGTGACCTTAGGATGAGTGCATTTCGAAGAATGACAGGAAAAGCCTAATTACTTCACTAAAAAAAATTAGAGTGGATAGATGCAAAGTGCTCCTTGGCCGTTACACCAATGGTCTTCATCGAAAGGTTTTGTTTAGCGATGAGATAATTTTTACAATTGAAGAAAGATTGAATCGCCAAAATAATCGTGTGTACGCAAATAGATCTAAAGAAGCCCAGGAAGTCATTGGAAGAGTGGAAAGATTATATCACCCTTCCTGCAATTCTAAACAGTTCATTTCATATAGTGTTCACCCATAGAAAGGATGTTTCCTGACTTTACTATCAGTTTGATATATATACATATGTGTATATATATATATATATATATATATATATATATATATATATATATATATATATATATATATATTAAATTGATTAATTTATCATGGATATAATTTTGATTACATGCCTACATTTATGTTTTTTTTTTTTAAGATTGCCCACAAAGACACAAACTCCTATAATTATGATCGGACCTGGTACCGGTCTTGCTCCCTTCCGAGGATTCATCCAAGAGAGAGATATGGCCAGGAAAGAAGGTAATGTAGTCTCTTAAACTACAATATACAATGTAGTAAACCTTTCTTCCAAAAATCATTCATAAATTTCATGTTAAATACGGTTAAAATTTTTATTTTAGGAAAGCCAGTTGGAGAGACTATATTATATTTTGGATGTAGAAGGAAGTCTGAAGATTTTATCTATGAAGAAGAGCTTAATGAGTTTGTTAAGAACGGATCCTTGAAGGTGAGCTTTTTTAATTTTATTTTTTGAGGATGTGTAAATTTAGGTAGCCACTATAAAGCTATTTTATATATAAAAATCTGTTTTTAATAATTATATTTTGTACTTATTTTTTAATTAACAAGGAAACTAATTATTAAAAATAATTTTTAATCATTCATCCTAATATTAATCCCAGTATGTAATATTAGTATTCCGTTTGATTTTATTAAGATTACCTGTTAATTAAATAGAATTAATAAAAATCATCATCATAATCAAGAAAAACAATTTTATTCAAAGCTTCTAAAATTTCCTCTATTCATATTATTATGTAATAATGGGATTTTAGGTAAATGGTAATAAAAAACAAAACATTGAAACTTGTGTAGGATATAATTTACAATTATTGAATAGTTAAGATTATATTAAAATAGGGAAGGTAATAAAATGTTAAACTGTATTTTATTAAAAGTGGACCTCTAAGTTTTTTACTTTTACTTTTTATAAGTTTTTTTAAGTTGACACTTCATTTTAATTAATTTATTTTGTTAAAATTAACATATTTACTGTTTTTTAAAATTAATTTAAATCAAGTTAATTAACTATGCTAAATGTTTGTTTAGGTTTTAGGAGGATTGTAACTATTATCTAATTGTTTTCTTGTTTTTTTTTATTCATAGATGTATGCAGCCTTTTCTCGTGATCAGCCAGAAAAAATCTATGTTACACATCTATTGTCTAAAAATGCAGATGAAATATGGAATGTGATCGGTTTAAATAATGGACATTTTTACATCTGTGGGTAAGTAACGTTTACAAGTTTTCTATTTCTTATATTTCCTCTGATTTCAAAGAGATTGAAAGAAAAATCTTATCCTAAAACGTTAAAAATAATTCTGATAATAATGATATTTGTGGTTTTAAAGCTTCTTAAAGTTTTAAAAATATTTTTAATTTTTTTTTTATTATTGTCCACTGGTTTCTTTGTTTAAAACATTTTCGGATAAAAATGGTTAATGAAATCCAGTTTTAGTTGGAAAAAAAAACCAAAAGTTTTTTATTCTCTTTAATATAAATTCTTCATCTAAAATAAGTTGAATTTAGGGAGGGGAGGGAGAAGAGACAGAAAGGCGACAGAAAAAAAAAAAAATTATATTAGTGACCAAACTAAACTAAATACTAAATTATTGGTATTATCAAAATGAATACTGAAAAAACTGAGTCCTGCAACTGGAAAAAATAGAATTTTAAGCAGCTTGAGTTATAATTTAGCTTCTCACTTCAAGAACGAGATATTCTTTTCAAGTCATTGGTTTAGTACAGATTGCACAACAGCCACAGAAGCAAAAAACAAAGCCTACAAAAACATGATGCAGAGGCTTAACACTAGGAAGGCTTCAAAGGAGTTCAAGAGAAGAGAAAAAAATGTACTGTAACAAGAAGAGGGAATGGGAACGGAAGCAGTTTGAGAAAATGAAAGAATACAGAATTCAGAACCAATCTTGGAAGGTTTTACAAAATTATTAATAAAAGTTGAGCATCATTTCAATAAGTTCTTAAATAATGATGCATGAAATTCCAGTGATTTTGTGATCCCAAGGAGCAAGAATGATGAATATCCTCCTCCCCTGATTCACCTACATATGGTGACTTTATTGAGGCTGTAAAAGGTCTGAATAGCAATAAAGCTCATCGGGAGGATGGGATCTCAGCTGAACTTCTAAAGCAAGGTGGTGAAGGGTTTCAAAAAAACCCTCTACAATATAATCCTCACTATTTGGATTGAAAAAAAAAAGTGCCGAATCAGTGGAAGAAGGGCATTATTTATACACTGCTTATGAAGCATGATGTTCTGGATTGCTCCAATTACCAAGATCACCAAAATGGCTGTAACGTTTTTAATGAGACTTGGCTAAAGTCTTCTTCCTTGAAGCCCTTTTAATTTATGTATACATAATACTTACTTGAAAAAAGACTGACAAAAATTAAAGATGGATTTAGAATTTTATTTGTGAATAATTCAAAAAGTACATAATTTTTCGTTTATTAATCCTACGAGTATTTGAAAGCTTTCTAAATTTCCTACAAAATGGAGAAAAAAAAATTCATGAAAATCGAAAAGAATCATTTCAAATAAAATATTTTTCTTTTACATTTCCTTCGGTTTATTTTTTAGGAGAGCTCTATTGTGACTAATTTATGTTTGAAATATAGCTATAATATAAGTTCAATATTTAAATGAAACAATTTGTACTTGCTGACTGAAGGATCAAAGTGGTTTCAAATATTTTTTTAAGGCGTAACAAAATTGATATTGGTTTTTTGCTCCTGGAAACACCCTAAAATACGAATTTTCATAGTAATCAAAAAATAAAAATTTATTGCCTCAAATTTTCGCTGAGTGAGTAAAATGGGTTAAATATTTTATTTTTTAATAATTACATTTTTCATTTTTATTTGCCTATAACTCAAAAAGTACTCAAATGGTACTCTGTTGTATTCTTTTGTGAGTACATATAAAAGTGAATATACAAATATATAAGATTAGAAAAATAAATATTGGAAACATGCAAATTAATTCATGTTTTCCTCAAATGTTCAATTATGATTAAGGTTGAATTTCAATCACTGGGACTATAGTAAATATACTCGTTTACTTATGTAATTGATCTAATTACAATTTAGTTTATTTATATTTATCTTTATTATATTTGCAGAGATGCTCGTTCGATGGCTAAGGACGTTCAAGCTATTCTACTTAAAGTCATTCAAGAAAAGGGCAACATGAGTGAAAAAGAAGCACAAACATTTTTCAAAAAAATGGAAAGCCAGAAGAGATACTCTGCCGACGTTTGGAGTTAGAGAGCTTTCCATCATCACTCTATTCCTTCAATTGGCCCCATTGGTGGCCAGAACCTATATTTTATGTTGTATATTGAACACACTAAACAAAAATTTTATTTTGTTGTTTATGTTGTTTTATTTATAAATTTTATGTTTAGTTGAAAAAATATATATAAATATCCTTGATGATTTTAAAACTTTTATTGTTCAAAAATATAAATAAGGAATTTAGTTAATTTATTTTGGAATCGTGCATTATTGAAAGTTCTCAAAAATTATGTTTTATGTGATACCCTTTAAAATAATCATTACCGATTTTATTTAGTAATATATTTAGTACAATATATTAATGTTTGTTAATAGAGTGTATTTTTAGTTTCATAAATATTATCAGTTGTGAAGAGTTAGGCTTCAGTGCATGAATGAGTATGGTAAAATTCATGATAATTGTTACCATCCACCCCACTTGAAAGGGTCTGTAAAAAATATATTTAAATGATGCCCCTCTTCTGTCTTTGATGGACAACTGTAACTAAGTACAATCTGCCGTATTCACAAACATCATCAAAGCATAAATATGCATATTATAATTGTGATCATTTTTATTTGTGCCTTTGACAAATTTTATATTTATAAATTGTATAAATGTAAGAATTTTAAAGTGAAGAGAATAAATAATTTTTGTTAAAAAGTGTTTTTTTTTTTATTTTGGAATTCCAGAGTGTGCATTAACCCTTTATAAGACCTTATGACATATTTTTCCCACTTCAGAAGCAGTATTAGGAAACCATAGTTCGCTCATTTAGAACTATTAGACCAAGGAAAAAAAAAAAGAGATTTTACCAGCACCTAGTCCATTTGTTTGTTGCACGACATGAAATTTTACTCTTAGTATAATATTTTGTTAGACAATTGGCTCAAGAAATTCAAAAATAGAAGTTGTATCAATGTATAGAAGGTATAAAATTATGATTACTGCTTTTCTTAATTCCTCTTAAAAATTTATAGTTCCGATAGTTTTATTTTATTCAATTTCACAAATTTTTATAATTAGAAAATTTTCATATTTAATGAAACATGGTTTCTCTTAGAAATATTACCTGTTTCCTTTTTTTTTTTTTTTTAATTTTATGATTCTGTTGATATCACTTTTCTTCAAATTTTCATAACTCTGCTAAAATCATTTTTCCTTTAATTTTCATTGAATGTAGATTGTATTAGAAACATAATTTCTGCAGCACTTCAACTATGTAAGCATTATACCCCTAACTTAGTAACAGTTTTGTACTAACTAATTGTTTTCATGGATTTATTTTTTTCTACTACTCCTACTGTCTACTCCTATGCCATTCCTAGCTTCGAAGAGCCTTGATCCAACGAAGCCACGCCTCTCGGTCCCGGCCAAGCTGCTTCATCTCTTGGAGAGTTTTCCCTCTCTTCCCTCTATCCGCTATATGTACTCCTGATAAGAAACTCTGGGACAGTCTCCTTCCAGTGGGTCGAGCTTTTACATTTTACAACCTCAACCTCTTTCCCTGTCAAAGTCTATGTTTCAGATACAAAATCATAAGTCCTTATGAATACCTGGTCGTTTCCGTGAGATCAGTCCACGCCCGAGGCTAGTATTTTTACTTTGAATAAAATTCACTACCATTAGCCCAGCGATGGAGGCCCTCCTCCAGGACTACTGGTCTTCCGAATATTTGTATTCCCTCAGAAGAAAGGGTGGTGAGGCTATACTCCTTAACACTAGGTCCTCAGCAGAACTTAGCCATTACAGGACATGTAATGTTTAATTTTTTCAAATATTTACCACTGTTTTTGTGATTTAAAAAAAAAAAAATTGAAGGGCAAAATTATGCTAAAATTTTGAGCAACATTTTTAATTATCAATAAACAAAAATGGACTTGCTATGAAAATTAAAATTCAAGGATTTTTTGATGAGAAAAAATGAATATCAACTTTGTTATTCCATTAAAAATATTTACCCACACTTTGCTACATTGGTCGGTTCAATTTGTTTCATTACCGTACTTCTACTATAGCTATCAAGAAAATATGAATTTTTTTTTAAGCCGGCTGGCTATTTGAAGTAAGATTAGATGCGCAAACCATGTATGTTGCTCCAATTTAAACCAAAAACAGGAGTAATGCATGTATTGTAAATATTCACGGTAAGCGCTTATGAGTCCTATAAAATGTATTTTTAAGCATCTTAAAAAACCCTTTAATTCAAATTTTTATAGCAATTAGATTTCATATTTCGAAAAATAAAAATTATTTACCTGAAATTTTTGCCTACATATAGAACCTTCGATTTTTTTTCCATAATCACAACTTCGGTGAATTGTGACCAAGGCCACACTTGCTTTCTGAGGTTCAGTGAAAGGCATGCTGTTCCATAAAAAAATCGTTTTTAAAAAAAAGATTGTAACCCAACCCATGATTGGTATTCAGTTAAGTACCTGATAAGGAAGTACTGTTCCTGGCAGTACTGTGCTAACAGTTGTGCAGGCAGATGATATAGCTGGACCATGTTAAGCCAACAATGTTTTGACTATTTAGAGTGCCCACTTGGTATGTGAGCAAAACTTCTTGCCATCTCCTTTGATAGTCAAACCTGCACCTTAACTAAAGCCCTATCAAGTAAACTGATAACCTGGCAAAGAACAATGAAAAGAAATATGAGTGACATAAAGAAGAAGGAGAGAGTTAGGAGTTGTGCCATCAGAGAGAAGACTGGTCTGAAAGATATAATCCAGCATGCCATGTAGCAAAAAAAATTATTATTGAATTTCTCCCTTTATTCGGTTTTCGCTCAATTTTAGCAGTTTTCACTATTTTCTCCATTTTCGCCATTAAATAAAATAGTAATAAGTTCAGTTTTTTTTTTTTATAATTACAAACAACAAAACGATATGAAATTTATAGAGATGTGGGAGTGAGGGAGTGCACGGTAGAGGGTCTAATTTATATGTATATGTTTATATTTCCTAAAAGGCAAGGAAGGGATGGACATACACAAAAAAAAAAAATACTTTATATGAAAGGGACTCCCTTAACTGCAACAGTTAATTTTTTTATAATATAATAGGTCTAAAAAGTGGATTTTTGGGAAAGGAGGCATTTCGAATTAATGGCAATGTATTGTTCGAATTTCGCATTCATTTTGTGCGGACCAAAAATGCTTTGCATACAATAAAATAAAAAATCTGGTGCGTGCAACACACAACTTTCACTTACCGCTCTACTTTGAATAGAAATTATTTTCTGGCAATGTTGGGCTATTATAAAATTTTTGAAGTGCATTTTAAACGGAGCTAAAGCTTAAAGCTTACAGATAACATATCATTAAGACCATTAAAATTACAAAAAGTCTATTTATTACATCGACGGTAGGCAATAAAAATCTAGTTACTCCATCTGCTTTTATAAACCACACAACTTCAGTCTCTGAGCCTTTCAGTTGACAGAATGACTAACTCCAATTTCAACATTTTTGAGTAATGTCATTTTAGTGATATTTCTAGTTGGAAAAGTTGTATCTATACAGACAGTGAGTAAGTTGATTCCAGAGTAGGTGATTGCAGTGTTAAAATATAGAACTGTGAATAAAGGTATAAATTTTGCCACTAGAAACATCACTAAAATTAATAATAAAGAATGTTGAAATTGGAGTTAGTCATTCTGTCAACCAAAAGGCTCATATATGCCTAGAGAGATTTGAAAGTATATCTGAATATTTAACCTATAAATGATTATGGATTGTAGGACTATTAGTTATTAAACTGTTATTTTCCATTGTAAAATTTACTAAAATGAAATTATGAGATTTTCATTGTCTGCCATGGATAGGTCAAAAGTTGTCACACTAATTGTAAGTAGATAATGTTGGGATTTCATAAAGGGAAAATTCATAAAATTATTCACTAATTTAATTTTCTAAAAGTTTACTTGATGATTTTTTGAAATAAACCACCAATAGATATCTAATTATTTAAATATAATATCATATCTAGAGCTATTAAACTACAGTAAATGTATTTAAGGGTATTAACATATCTATGAAATATTTTTATATTTGATTCCTTCTTTCACACAAGAACAAGTACAATGAAATGGTATTTTAAACAATGACATTGGCTTGATTCGGTGGATGTTAAATACTTTTTTTTTCAAACTTAAAAAAAATTTAAGAGTTTTCATTTAGTAGGAAAATTTCATTTAATTTCCTTGCTCATGTGATTTACGTTAAATAATGTTAGTTTTCTGAAATTATAATTTGTATTTTTTTTTTGTCACTCTCCATTACCTTCTACAACTTTATTTATTCGATATTATTTTTTTCTAAAATTCTACGCTTTCCAACGATATATTATAGGTATATCTTCCGACCACTAGAAGATCCAGGATTTAATTTTGGAGGGATTTAATTTTTTTATATATATAATGATCATTACTTTGGAAAAACAAAAAGATACTAACTACCTGTATGAAATGGTGTTTAAGTGATTATTGAAGTCCTATTATACGTAATTAAACGAGCAATAATACTTTAAGGCACATTTTTTTACCATAAAACATGGTTACATTTTACCATTTTTGGGGGAGGGGGCTTCAGCCCGAAAGCCCCACCATAAATCCGCCTGTGCTTCTGACTGTTATTTACGGAGATTCTTTTTCAACCTGGATTAGGATTTTTCTTTTATTCTCCAGCTTCCAATTATCATATTCTTTCAAACTTCTTATTTAGCCATTTTTTATATTTACTGGCAATAAAAGAGAGTTAATTTTTTTTAAATAAACCATATTAAAGGTACTTTAGAGGAAGACGTATATGAACATTGGGTATTTAAGCTCTGTAAAGTGACATCAATGGGGGTAAGACTTAAATCATATTAAAAATGAAATTAATCAAAATCGTTAGTCGTTTTTGAGAAAATTGTAAAAATGTTTTTCACCGTTGATATAAAGTGACACTTCCGGTTTTTACGGAAAAGTTGTTGCTGTAACATACAAGGTATAGGTATATACAAACCTTAAATATGAAATTTCACTTTCGTACAACTTTTCGTTTTTGAGCTGGTGTTCAGATACATACAGACACAGAGACACTAGCGGATCCAGGATTTATTTTTTTGGGGGGGGCTTCAGCCCGAAACCTTTTTTTTTTCATAAAAATAACGATAATTACTTTGGAAAAACAGAAATAAACTAACTACCTATATAAAATGGTGTTTAAGTTATTCCTTAAGTACTTTTAAATGTAATTACACGAACAATAATACTTTAAGAGGTATTTTTTAAATTTTTTTTCACATAAAACATGGTTATATTTTTCCATTTTGGGGGGGGAGGCTTCAGCCCGAAAGCCCCCTCCCCCCGTAGATCCGCCTGTGCACAGAGACCATTTTGCGGGACAAGGTTATTTGGACTCAGGACTGCTCAAAACATGTATTCCCGTTGAAAACTCAGAGACGAAAATTTTTACGATCGGAATACTGCCCCTTCCTATATATTTCACGTATAGGTAAGTGAAATTAAAAAAGGGTAACATGAGTATAGATCGCGATAAGAACTTACATTACACTATAGGCAGCTAGGCAGCTATACCCATTATTGTAATTTGTAATTACTTAATTGGTTACCCATAACAGCGCTTATTAATATTTTTTATGTGAAACAGAGAAATTAACGTGAAAAATCTAGAAAAATTTGGAAATGTACGGGAATTTTTCGGAGAAGAATCGCTGGAGTGCAATAGCTAATTGTTATATTGTTAAAATAAATATTATTACAAATGGTAAAATAAATATTATTCTTTATTTTGCCTTTTTATTTCTGACTGATCATCCCAACCACCCTTCT